TTTCTGACCTCTAAGGGCACCTACATGCACGTGTACAAACACACACATGCATGCATACAAACACACACATGCACGCGTACAAACACACACACTCACTAAATACTAAAAAAAGCCAGATGTGACAGAGCACATCTCTAGTCCCAGCACTCACCTGCTGGAGGCAGATGGATCGCTTTCATATTTTTCAGAGGTTTAAGTCTTTGTTTTATTAGAAAGCAGGCTTTTACAGGGGACAAATGCATATGTGGGCTTTAACGGGGGAGGGGGATGACAGAAAATTTCACAATCATTTTGATCAGACTGACTCAAGATTCTTTTTATTTAAGACTTATTTTTCTTTATGTGTGTGTGGTGTATATAGGTGAGCATGGAAGCTAAAAGAGGGTGTCAGATCCCCTAGAGCTGGCGTTATACTTGGTTGTGAGCTGCCTAACATGGGTGCTAGGAACTAAATTCAGGACTCTGCAAAAGCAGCAGGTGTTCTTAACCATTGAGCTATCTCTCTAGGCTCAAAATTCTTTAAAAATATTACATATGTGTTTGTGTGCATGTACATGTATGTATATACATGTGGATCCATAGGGCAACCATGGGTGTCATTTTCAGGGACACTCTCCATTTCTTTTTAGACAGTGTCTCTCACTGACTGGCCTGTATAACCTGAGTTCTAGGGATCTTCCTAGGATCTTTCCAGCACACTGCCAGGCCTACCTAGCCTTTTTATGTGGATTCTGAGGATGCAACTCAGATACTCATGCGTATAAGGCAAATACTTTACTGACTGGGTTATCTCCTCAGCCCTGTCCCAGGACTCTTGAAGTTTAATCAGATGATTCTCTTGGATTACTCATACCTCCTGATCCCCAGTAGAATTAATTAATATTTAAGATAGTAACTTTTTTTCTTGAGATAGAATCTTATGTAGCCAGGCTGGTCTGTAACTCATTATGTAGTAGAGGATGACTTCAAACTCCTGATCTTCCTGTTCTTACCTCCTAAGTGCTAAGGAAGCAGATATGTACTACTAGCCCCAGCTTAACTTGATTACTTAACATTCTTCTGTTAATAGGTCAAAAATAACACATTTAGTGAGTTTTATGCAGTGGTAAGTGTAGACTTTAATGCAACAATAATGGCATTAATTGCCAGTAAAACTGATACACAAACTATTCTGTGATATATATTTCAAACATAAACATCACAATTGAAACTCACTGAGTCTACAAAATCATCGAAAGCCACACTGTAAAGGCCATGAGTTTTCTCTGATAGGAAGGCTTTGTTATCTCACTGTGGCCTATTTATTCTTTGACTCAAGTCTCCTAAGATTTGTTACTTGGTTTCTAATCATCATCTGAGCCAGTGAGTGAATAAAACGAGAACAGAAATCCTCTAAAGGGCAAGTCATAGCCTGACTACTAACCATTTGCCGAAGTGTTCATGAATCCCTTCCTTTAAACTCAAATTATGTTTGTATCAGTCTTTACTTGGGACTTTTAAATCTGACCTCCACTCCTTATGAGGCAGGAGTCTTACTACATTGCTGAAGCTGGCCTTGAATTCAAGACTCTCCTGTAGAGTAGCTACAGTATCTGCAGGCACAGCTACCACCCTGGGCTCCCAGCTGTCAGTCTGAATGTCTTGTCACTCCAGTTAGTCTTTGCTATTTATACATCTGCTACGGCATGAAATGCTCCTGTCAGCTAAGGTGTACATAATCGAGTCTTAGAAATAACACTTCCCTTCTAAGATCACTGACTGGGAATCTGATTTCAAAATCTATGTTTATCGACTCCATATTTTTACATTTTCTTTCAGGGAGTTTATTAATTTTCTGAAGACAAGTCATATTCTCCAAATTGAAAATGTCTGCATTAAGTAGCAACAATAGATATATTAAGCCCATGGATGTTTTTAATGTTGATGAACTAAGCAGCACTGTAAATGTTTAATAAATATATCTAAAGCAATACTAGTTAAGTGTAGTTTAGATGTCAAAACAACGGCAAGCCTCTCAAGAACAAAGTGAGCTGTGTATGCTGTAACTCAGTGGTAGAGTGCTTCCCTAGCATGTGTTTAATCTCCAGCATTGCAAGACAGCATCAGAGAGATGAGAAATGAGAGACAAGGGACAGGGAGAAAGGGAGAAAGGGAGAAAGGGAGAAAGGGAGAAAGGGAGAAAGGGAGAAAGGGAGAAAGGGAGAAAGGGAGAAAGGGAGAAAGGGAGAAAGGGAGAAAGGGAGAAAGGGAGAAAGAGAGAAAGATCCTAAAATTTAGGGCAAGGCATGGTGACACACCCCTTTAATCCCAGCACTCAGGAGGGAGAAGCAGGAGAATCTCTGAGTTCAAAGACATCCTGGTGTAATAACAGTTCTAGGACAAACAAAGCTGTCTCAAAATAAACAAATCCTAAAGTTTGCCTCTCTAGTGGCACCTACTACCCTGGAGCCTAAGGCAGGAAGACTGTGAGTTTGAGCTCAGGTTGGAATATGTACCTAGATACTCTCTCTTTAAAGAAACAAAATGGAAAGAGAGTATTCCAAAAATTGCTTAAAAGCTTATCATACTACCTTAGCATCACTCAGCAAAGATCTTTACTATGGGCCTCAAAAGTGACCCTGAAGTTACTAACATAAAATACCATTTTTATAGTGATTAAAAAAAGTGGCCAGGCAGTGGTGGCACACACCTTTCATCCCAGCACTTGGGAGGCAGAGGCAGGAGAATTTTTGAGTTCGAGGCCAGCCTGGTCTACAGAGTGAGTTCCAGGACAGCCAGAGCTATACAGAGAAACCCTGTCTCGAAAAAAAACAACAAACAAATAAACAAACAAAACAAAAAAAAAACTGGATGTGGATTTTAAGGATTTTCTGTCACTTATTAGTGTATGGCTTTGAGCTTCAGTCTCATTACTGTAAACACACAAAGTAGTTCACAGGACTCCCATGATAACTAAAGGAGATAACACACATTAAACTCAGCATGGTGACAAGAGGTCCATAGATAGCAGCTGTTAGCTATTAATAAATTCAGTTAACTCATTTTTGTTGCAAGGATTTACAGTTTTGCAAAGTGTTAGCTAACTATATGATCTCTTCTGAGCTACTAAGGCTCTACTAATACAATATAATTTCCCACTGTGACAGGGACAGGGAGAAAGGGAGAGAGGTCTGTTGTACTGAATTTCCATTTTACAGTAGAAGAAAAGAAAGTCAAATGATTTGCCCAAGGACATTAATTAGTAGGCAAACATATCTAGCCCTTTTGATCCCACTAGTATTAAAAATAGTCCTCTTTCAAGTTTAACAACATTTAAGTTCTGGTGCTGGGGCTGTACAAATAGGGTCACAGAGTATTTGTTCTTTGTGGCTTACTTCATTTAGCACAATGTCTTCAAAGTACATCATGTTCTAGCATATGTCAAAATTTCCTTTTAAAAAAGGCAGTATTTTTAAGATTTATTTTTAATATTTTTATTTATTACTTTAAATTCTCTGTCTTTGTGCGGGTATGTGCAGATGCTAGAGGCCTTGGATCTCCTGAAGCTGGAGTTACAGGTGGCAGCAAGCAACCTAAAGTGAATGTGCGGATCCTGTCTTTCCCCAAAGCCATACTACTCACTGTTGACGGTTGAATCATCGCTCCAACTCCAGGATATTCTTTTAAAAAGTGGAATAACATTGCAGTGTATGTATGTAGGGCATTTTGCTCATCCATTTACTGTCCATGAATGGATCTTACACTGTCCCCTTTAAGTACTGATAAAACTATTCAGAGCTTGGTTATTAAATTTCAGATTATTCACTCCTTTCCTCATCTTTCAGCCCATCCCCTCTCACCTCTTTAGAGTTAGGTAAATTAGTGTGCAGACTTTAGTGTACTGGGCAGTAAAGTCATTTTCCCACTTTTGATATCTTTCTTAGGCACTCCACCATGAATCAACATAAAGGAAAAATAAGAACCTCAAATCAGTTTAATTCAATTGGGAGGATAGGAGTTTATCAATAGCTAAATTAGTAAATTAGGTATGAATGTCTCTACAAATCACTGTAAATTATATCCTCTGTGCTTTTAATAAGAGATAATGAAAAGTTTTTGCTGGACAGTAAATGGAGAGGGACAGTAGCAACTCTGGGGCTGACCCATGGAAATCTCAGCAGGTGATTCCTCTAAAGACAATTTAGAAGGAACTCAAACACACTAATTAAAACTTCTACTATCTTAAGTAACTTTAAAGCTCTCCTCTGGATTAAAGATGGAGTTTGAATTGGTGGAGTTCCTCTACTTTCGACTTTATAACTGTGAGGTGAGATTAACCACAAGCTTCAGCTCACAGCTCTCAAAAGCAGGCAAACCACAACGGAAAGGAGTAACAGCCTGACTTCAAAAACAATGACAATGTAAAGATGCGTGTGAATCCTGAACTTGAGTGATTCAAAGAGTACAGGAAGGCTTGCGTTGTATGTACTAGTCAGGAGGTCATAAAAGAAAACTACTGAAATCTAATTTTCTGAAATAACTTCGGACTACAGCAGCATGAATTTCTTTGTATGAACTACAAAAGAAACTTATAGTCAAATGCAAACTTAAATAAGACCCACTACCACAGTACGTTGGCTGCCAGTAGGATCCACAGGACCTTGAAGCCTTTCTGACTCTATTCTGATTCCATCAACCATTCTCCCCAATCTCTCTCGTGTGCTACAAAGTTCAGCTGTCATTCGGTCACCATAGACGTCTAAGATGTTAATCCATTTTTAGACTCTCTCAAGGTTCACCGATATTCTTCCAACAGATTCATGTATTCACCAGGCTCCGGGACACTCATTTCCTCCATTAATCGCCCAACACCTCCAACCCCACCATCCAAACCAGATGCATCTAGACCTCGCAGCAAGCACGCTGCGCTTTCGACCTCGCTCTCTAGTTCGCGCCCCAGAATGTCCGGAAAAGCCGCTTGGAAAAGCAAACTTTCTGAGCACTTGCAGAGGCAGACTCACAGCTGGTTGATGGCGTTCTGAGAGATGACCGCATTGGCAGAGAAGTAGGGGATCATGTCGGGGCCACCGAGGCTGCAGGTGCTGGCAGGGGGCGCTTTCCTTTCGTCGGTCAAAGTGCTCAGGGTCATGAAGCCGACTCACGATGAACAGCTCGGCATCCTGGACCGGCGTTGGAATAACCCGGGCCAGAGACGGTGGTTCCCGGTAGGAGCTCCGAGGCAGCCACCGAAGCCCCGGGGCTCCGCTCTGTACTCTGGGCAGCCCCGCGCTGCCAACAGCCCTCCCCCATCCGCGTCCGGGGCGGGGCGCCTGGGCGGGGCGGTCTAGAGCGTCCGGAGGGTGGGCCTCGCCGACGCTCCGCCCGGGGCTCCTAGCGCCCACGCGGATCCCGCAAGGCATACGGGCCTGCTGGGTAAGGGGGTGAGACGGCAGCCTGGGTGAAGGGAGAGTAATTGGCAGAGGAAATTTCTCTACTCTGAATGCTCAACTGAAAAGAACCGTCTCTGAAGCAGCTCTATGCACGGTAGCCTCTTAACCAGCTTTATACGCTGTACCGCAAACTAAGTTTATGAATGGTCTTCAAAGTTTTTGAAGGCCTCACAAGTGTAAGTTAAATATTTATCACTACTTTTCTTGGATCCTCAAAGTGGAACTAGAGAGATTATAGTGTGTGAGAGAGCTACCTTTACACTGTGGACAAAATCTGCTAACCCTTGTAAATAAATATAGAGGGTTCAACAGCCTTAGTTGTATGTACAATTTGTGAAGATTAAAATATCCCAATGCCCAACCTACACATTGGACCAATTAAATTTTAATGTCTTTGGAACGAGATCGGTAGTTTGAGGATCATCTGTGTTTCCATCTAAGGCGTCTCCCAACAAAGAGCATTCTCTGATGCCTTACAAACTTTAAGCCCTTCTCATGCACCTTCCAGTGGGCAGAGCAGTGCCTTTCACCTGATCAGGAACTGGCTCTGTAAAAGGAGCCTCTTTCTGTTTCAGGTCTTGGTTTACAAAAGGGGCCAGCATACAGAAGCACCCTGCAAGCATCCTCTAGCTCTCCTCTTGCTCTTCCAGTCTTACACCAGAGCAAATACTTTAGGAATTAGTATTTTTTAGCATTTCTGAGTAACTGACTAAATTGTACACACACACACACACACACACACACACACACTCCACAGGAATCCAAAAGCCAGAAATTAGTAAACTTTAAAAACAATTTTTCTAACCAACCTGAAAAGACTTTCAATGTATTAGAATCAAGAAAAACTCAAATCTTTGTTTTATATGAAAGTACAGGGAAGTTTGACAATTTTCAATACGCTAACAATGAAAATAATCTGAACATAAAATTCTATGCCTAAAACTAGAATTACTTTTTTATTAGTTGTCCATAAAACTTCAAGCTATTACCAAGGTAATGAGGGGCTCAGAATACTGTGACGCATACAGAAGGTAGTTTCTGTAGTTTCCTAGAGATCTGGCAATAGAAAAGACCCATGTGGCAAGTGAAGAGTTAAGGGAAAGTCTGGATGTTAGAGTTTCATCATCTTCATCCATCTCTAGGAAGGAAACATTTTAAAGATTTGTTCAAGCTGTGTCAGCAGGCACCCAAATGGCAGTGTAAGAAAAAAAAATCTGCTGATATACCCCAAAATAAATTGCTCAAAATATCTAGCAAACTTGCCAGTTTGAAACTTCTTTCAGGCTGCAATTTATTACAGTCTCCTACTGTGACCAAAAAAAAAAAAAAAAAAAAAAAAGGCACTTTAGCATTAAGGTGAGCCCAGTTCCTTTCATGACACAGCAAGAGATGGGAATTTTTATTGAAGTCACTATTAAATGATGTCATTTAGAAAAGATGATGGCATAGCAGTCATCTTTATCTGGAAAACAATTCAGCAGAAAATGTGTATTACTGTATTACTTGATTCTATCATACTCACTACATTTAAAAATGCTAGGGATAAAGATTTCATAGATACAGATTTTGTAAATATGTATCTTTATGCCACACAAAAAGGTTCTTACAGTGATGCCCCAGAAGTGCACAATCTTTTGGTTTTCCTTTGAAAGACCTTTGTCAGCCATTCAAGTAAGAAGACTGTTAATACTTCTAATCTAGTCCTTTTAAATTCTCCCTTTAATAAATCCCTTAATGTCATCTGTAAAATTATATAATAAGATCTTAAAAAAATTTTTTTCAGCCAGATGGTGGTGGTTCAGGCCTTTAATCCCAGCACTTGGGAGGCAGAAGCAGGTGGATCTCTGAGTTCTAGGCCAGCTTGGTCTACAAATCAAGTTCCAGGACAGCCAAATCCCCAAATTTGTTTTGAGAGATGCAAATCTTAGACAGACTATTTTCATATCAACTAAAAATTCTGAGGAGTGAGGTGTGGTGGTGCATGCCTACTGTACTAACACCTGAAAGGCTGAAGCTGTAGGATCACAAATTCAAGGCTAGCCTCCACTACATAGGCAGACTCTTATTAAAAAATTAGCAACCAGGGCCAATGAGATGGCTCAGTAAGTAAAAGTGCAAGCTTGCTGCTAAGCACAACAACCTGAATTCAGCCTCTGGGACTCACATAGTGGAAGAAGGGAAATGTCTTCCATAGGTTATCCTCTAACCTCAATACTTGCATTGTGGTGTTGTGGTATGCCCACACTTGTCTACCCCAACCCCATGAAGCTGATAAATAAGTATAAATTTAAAAGAAGCAAGCAAGCAAGCAAACAAACAAATAGATAAAAAACTGAAACATGAAATATATTTAGTCCACTTAAAATAGACACCTAGTTCAAATCGACAGTGACTAGCAGTTGAAGACTTTGGTTTTATAATTAAAAAACTGAGTTGAGTATCAGCTTAATTTATGAAGTTATTTTGAGGATTAATTAAAAACAGTATCTATATTTAAAAAATACTTAGCATAAAGATCTACTCTTTGGCTTTAATGTTTGCCATATTAAGGTAAGGCTCAACATTGACCTTACTTTTCCACTGAGAAAATATTGGAGATGGATTTCTTTGTTTTTTTCCATAAACATTAAAAAGTGGTAATGACTCTGATATAAGAAGTTCTAGGGTGGAGCATAGTGTCATAAATGTTTAATCCTAACACTCAGAAGGCTGAGACAGGAGAATCTCTGTGAGTTTAAAGCCAGCCTGGTCTAGTTCTAGGCTAGCCATAGATACACAGTGAGACCCTGTCTTAAAAAAGAAACTTCTAGGGCAAGTGAAATGGCTTAGTAGCTAAGGACAGCTGCTGCCAAGACAAACGATCTGAGTTCAGTCCCACATGGTACAAGAAAAGAGCTGATTCTTGTAAGTTGTCTCTGATCTCTGTGCATACACACATACAGGAAAAAAATTAATGTTTATTCTTTTCAAGATACGTGGACAAAAGCACTGTTTGGACAGGATGACGAGTTTTTATTATCATAACTGGTCAGTTAGTTTCCAGTAATAGAAAGCAACTTGTATTTGTTTCATTACCTAGAAGTTGATAAAACGAATGAAAACTGAAAATACATAAAAACATCTCAGTAGTGCGGGGCAGTGGTGGCGCATGCCTTTAATCCCAGCACTTGGGAGGCAGAGGCAGGCGGATTTCTGAGTTCGAGGCCAGCCTGGTCTACAGAGTGAGTTCCAGGACAGCCAGGGCTACACTGAGAAAACCTGTCTCAAACAAACAAACAAACAAACAAACAAGCTCAGTATATCACCAATTCATTTAGGAAGTTTTACTGTTACTGTTTATAAGTTAGTCACATTAACTTATTATCACAGCCTATAATCATCTGATATCTACAATGTTTATTTGATTTTTCTATTTTTTAAGCTTTCAAATAATAGCATTAACTTATGCAACTGTATTATTTAAGCACTTGATCATAAGAAAAATGATTATACTAAGGTGAGGACTTCCTTGTGTTTTGATGTTTTCTCTAAGGGTTTGATCTAGAGAAATAAATAGTAAATTAATCCCTTGAGTGTCAAAAGGAAGAAAACCAATACTTTAAAAGTTACAAAACAAAAAACTTGTTACCTGGAGTAACACAACCTGCTGTCTCTTGTTAATCTGCAAAACGCCAGAACAAAACTCTCAAGATAATACCCCCAATTTCAGATTTATTGTCCAGACAGGACTAAGAGCTATCTTACTACACTAAGTCAAAGGCATTCTTCAGATAATACAGTACACCAAGATGTTAACAATAGCTCTGTAAAGCAATCATGTTTTGTGAGTATTTTGCTTTAAATATCTGACAATAGTTTTAAACACTTGAGTTGAACAATGTCACTGAGCTTTTATAATCATTTGCATAGAATTTCCCACACAAGAGCAATGTGGAATACTGAGAAGATCTGCATATCAACACCAGAGAAAAGATCTCTAAAGCATTCATCCTACCTGGTCTTAGCCACCATATGCTCCTGCACAAGGACATGCTGCAATCCTGCTTTCTTCAGGTTACAAAAGCCTGACACTTCTATTGTTTAGTAAAAATAATAGGCATTTATGGATCACTTTTCACATTCAACCACACTTCACAAAACATTAACTATTTAGTTCCTGCTCTATTTCTTTATTCTGCTTTGTAAACCACTTAAAAGTCATAGTAACATATGGCAAGTGTCACTCCCAGCCCCAAGAATCCAGAAAGGTAAAAGAAAAGTCACTTTTCTCATCTCTGTCATGTCACTTTTAGGTAATTAAAACTGTTTTCAGAAAATGTCCTCACATATACAAATATGAATGTAGCTGTCCTTTAGGAAGATCACATGATAAATGCATACACACAATGTATTTTATTTTGCTTCTCATCAACATTTGTCATTAATATCTTGGGTATCTTCTTAATTCTATTTGTTTTAGAGACAGGCTCTCCCTTCATAGCCCTGGCTGTCCTGGAATTCACTATGTAGATGAGGATGGCCTCGAACTAAAGAGATCAGCCTGTCTTTGCTTCCCGTACTACGATTAAAGGCATGCACCACCACACTTGGGCTACCTAATTCTTTTAAAGGAACATGTTGTATGATCTTATACAATTTGTTTAAATGGTTCACTGCTGTTAGGTATTTGTTTCCAGTTTTTAATCACTGAACATGCCTTTATACTCTGAGGGAGAAGAGTCAGTTGTCGCTAGAGATTAAACCCAGAGCTTCACAAATGGTAGGCTTTGTAGTTTTTCAAAATTTTGTGCATACTCGTGAACATAATTATTACATGGATACTT